AAGTTGCCCAGGTGGGTCTTGAACCCGCAGGCTCAGGCAATCCACTCACCTCAACCTCCCAAAGCGCTGGGATTACAGGCTGAGCCACCGAACCCAGCTCAATTTATTCTTAATTTGTGATTTTTTCCAGGTTTTTTACAATGAATATATATATATTTTTGTACTTTAGGGAAGGAAAGCTACTTTTTAAAAATGTAGTTGCTGGGTCTTGTGCAAATTATTGTGCAAAATGAAAGCTTGTGTGGTAATATAATAAGATGTTTACTATTAGAATGATTCATAAGGTCACTTCAAACTTTGAAATTGCCATGATTCTAAGAACATGTTGGTCTTTAAAATTTTCACATTCAAATATGCATTAAATTTTTATTTTGCAGTTTTAACAATCCCGATGTGACAATAGACCCTGAGTTTAGGTTATGGTTAAGCTCAAAACCGTACAGTTCTTTTCCAGTTTCTATTCTTCAAAAGAGTTTAAAGGTAAGAACAAAGTATAACAGGTTTTACTATTGACTAAGAATCCTGTTCGAATGTAAAACATACTGCATTCATGACTCTGAATTAAAAGATTACTAATTCTGGTATGCTAAATTTGTTTTGTGCTCAGCCACACACTGAGGACCAAGAAGAATGCTAAATTAGGTCCCTGTTTTCAAGTAATTCATGACTTAGATGTATGTTTTCTCAAACAAGGATCCTAGGCTTCCAATTGTTATAAACCAAAATATGCAATTAGTGTCCTCTTCCTACCCTTCACTTCTCTAGCATCTTCTTATTTCTTCTCTCCTTGGCAGTTTTACAGTTCATTTATTCTCTGGAAAGGGTTTGGCAGAGAGCAGATGAGAACTATATACTAAAAAGTCCTAACTAAAGATTATCTGGGTCTTCTACTCATATCCACCTTTGAAGTTGAAAGATATTAAGACTTAGTCAATTCTTAAACAAGCTTCCACTTGATCAAAAGGTAGAATTCTAATAGCAGAGAAAACTGACCAATGGCATAGACAGAATGCTGTGCCCACCTTCAACTCTACAGAATTGGAGGAGGAAATCGGGTGGATGAGGCACTTTCCCGACAGAGTCCCAATCCAGTCTGAGAATAAATCCGATTCACTTTTGGGAAACTGTGAAACTTCCTGTCACACTGCTCCTCCGCTCTTCTCCATCTCCTGTATGTGTTTACCCAAACTGACAGTACCGAGTCGCTTCCCAACAACGCTGCTCCTGGAGCAGACAGAACATGGATTGGAGAAAACCACAAGATATTCCACCTATCTCTCGGAGTCTGGCAGATTATGATCTCCAACAGCCTTTATCTTTGACCAGCAATGGGGGATTTGGGATGTAGAGGTGGCAGGGAACAAAGGGTGTCAGAGAGGGACAGAGATAGAACTTCAAGGAACAATTCATCATAAGTGGACCCATTGCTCTAATTGCACTTTTAGGCTCCATCAGTATAAGCATTTTTAATGTGGCTACAATTAGGGCATATATAAAATTTTATGGAAGTATTTCATGTACCATTATTTACAGACAGATGACAATTTTCTTAATATGTGGATAAGGGCACCTACAAATACGAAAAATATTAACATCCCATAAAGATGGGCAAAGGATATGAGGTCAATAGACATATGCAAAAATAAAAGTTCAGCTTCCAGATATCAAAAAATGCAAATCAAAACCTTTGATAGCCCATCAAATTGACAAAAACGAAATATAGTTATGATATAGTTAGCGCTGTTAAGGGCACTATGAAATAACTACTCTCACATAATGCTGACAAGGTAATTTCAGGAAGATAATAAACCAGAAAGGAAGGTAATTTTGATATATATGTATATCAAATTATGTATGTATACATATACATACATTTGATATATGGATGAAAATTACCTTCCTTTCCAAATATATTTGTGTGTGTGTGTGTATATATATATATATATATATTTGTACATTTGTGTGTATAAATATACATAATACCTGTCTTCCAAAATTTTATATAATTTGATCAAGTGACCCATTTCTAGGAAAAGGCAAAAAAACTTATGGTGCATTTATGTGATAAAATAGTATAGTGTCACTAAAAACCAGCTATATTTAAATGTCTATATATATTTGCAGTAAAATATATATATTTATATATATTCCTCTTTGTCTTTCTCACTTTTCCCTTCAGATACAGTTCCTTAAGGGGGTGGACAAACATCTATTTTTAGAGACATAGAAGAGGTTCTTGAAAGGATCAGTCATAGCAGTTGGGAAACAATGCTCTGTGAATATTTTCTCATTTCTGCACAGATTTTCTGAGCAAAGATCAGTGGCAACCTGCATTAAAGTATCCACTGTGCACAGAGCCATTTGCTCAACCAAGGGTGGTAAGAAGCTTGTCTCAGAATCTCCTGTAGCTACTTACATTCCAAGGGTAATAAAACCAAGAGCCATTTGCTTACAACCCAGGGGTTGTAAAACGCTACAGGCCTCTTCTTTTTCCACAAAGGGGATTTGTTTACATTCCAAAGCAAAGGTCTATTTGTCTCTGGAGGGGAGGAAGGGCTGCTATGCCAACCGTTCTATGTAAGCTTCAAGTTTCATAATTTGAGTTCCTTTGCTGTGTTACAAAGCCCACTCTACACACACAGGATACATCTGGCTCCCAATGCATCACTTTGTGGGGTATTGGAGCATAGAGATTCGGTCCCGGATTTAGAAGTGTCCGTTCATAAATATACTCATGCACACTTCCATATGCCATGCATGCATATCTGTACACAATTACATATATCATTATAAATATCCACACAATTTATATATGTATTCACATATATAAACTGTAAACATATGAGACCCTCCACAGTTTCAGACTTCATAGTCACAGTCCCAAAAAAGCCCTCCAATTAATTTCCTCCCCATTTCACCCCAGTCTCTCATCATTTCAATTATTTTAGTTAAGAAGTCAACCAAATGATTGTTCTTTTTTCTTATCATTGATGATTAGATATTTTTGTTGGTTAAGTTAGTGTTCTGTTTCCCTTGATTTGGCACCCCATATTTGCTACTTTGCAGAGGCCATACAGCCTTGATTCTGTTTCAGTTAAACTGTCATTTGATAAATAAATTCAGACTACAAGAACTCTTCAGTGTTAAATTTTCTAAATCCCAAACTCTATGCTTACAGCAAACAGAAGTGCTTTTATTTTTATTATTTTTTGTTTGTTTGGTTGGTTGGTTTCACAAGTTTTTCTTGCAGTTAATTTCTAATTGTATTCCACTGTGGTCTGAGAAGATGTTTGATATAGTTTTGATTTTTTTTAATTTATTGAGACTTGATTTGTGGCCAATCATATGGTTTGTCATGTGCTGATGAGAAAAATGTATATTCTGTAGTTCTGGGGTAGATAATCTATAGATAGCCGGGCTCGGTGGCTCAGCCTGTAATCCCGCGCCTTTGGGAGGCTGAGGTGAGTGGATTGCCTGAGCCCGTGGGTTCGAGACCTGCCTGGGCAGCGAGACCGCATCTCTACAATAAATCAAAAAATCAGCCGGGCGTGGTAGAACATGCCTGTAATTCCAGCTACTCGGAAGGCTGAGGCTGAAGGATCACCGGAGCCCAGCAGTGGCCGGAGCGGCCACTGCACTCCAATCTGGGCGACAGTGAGACTCCAACTCAAAAAAACACAAAAAACTATAGATGTCTGATAGTTCCAGTTGCTCTAGAATCTGGTTTAGCTCCAATGTTTCTTTGTTGCCTTTCTGCCTGGATGATCTGTCTACTGTTGAAGTCTCCCACTCTTAATGTATTGTTGTCTATCTCTTCTTTGTATGTCTTGTTTTATAAAGCTGGAGGCTCTGGTGTTAGACACATATGTATTTAAAGTTGTTATGTCTTCTTGTTAGATTGATCCCTTTATCACTATATAATAACCATCTTTGTTTTTTTTTTACTGTTGCTAATTTTTTTGTTTTTGGTTTTGGTTTTTTTGAGTTGGTGTCTCACTCTGTCACCCAGACTGGAATGCAGTAGCCGCTCCCGGCCACCGCAGCCTCGACCTGCTGGGCTCCAGCGATCCTTTCGCCTCAGCCTTCCGAGTAGCTGAAACTACAGCCACGCGCTACCACACCCTGCTATTTTTTTTTTTTTTTTTTTGTAGAGATGAGGTCTCGCCAAATTGCCCAGGTGGGTCTCAAACCCACGGGCTCAGGCAATCCACTCACCTCAGTCTCCCAATGTGCTGGGATTACAGGCTGAGCCATCGAGCCTGGCTACTGTTGCTACTTTAAAGTCTGTTTTATTTGATATGAGAATGGTCACTCCTGCTCATTTTTGGTTTTCATTTGCATTAAATATATTTTCCCACCCCTTTACCTTGAGTCTATAGAAGTCTTTGTGTGTTAAGTGGGTCTCTTGAAGGCAGCAGACAATTGAGTTGTGTTTTTTTATCCATTCTGCCAGTCTATATATGTTTAGTGGGCAGTGAGACCATTTATGGTCAAAGTTAATAATGATATATAAGGTAATATTCCATTCGTTGTACTGGTTGTTATCTGATTACTTTATTTAATTATCTTTCTCTATTGTGTTGCTGTTCTATAAGGCCTGTGAACTTTATGGTTTCCAGCATTTTTCTACTGATATATTTCAACTTTTTGTTTCAGTATTTAGAACTCTTTTTGAGTATTTCTTTTTTTTTTTGAGTTGGAGTCTCACTCTGTCACTCAGACTGGAGTGCAGTGGCCGCTCCCGGTCACCACAGCCTTGACCTGCTGGGTTCCGGCGATCCTTCTGCCTCAGCCTTCCAAGTAGCTGGAACTACAGACACGTGCTACCATGCCTGGCTAATTTTTTATTTATTATAGAGATGACGTCTCGCCAAGTTGCTCAAGTGGGTCTCGAACCCGCAGGCTCAGGCAATCCACTCACCTCAGCCTCCCAAAGGCGTGGGATTATAGGCTGAGCCACTGAGCCCAGCTGAGTATTTCTTATAGAGCTAGTCTAGTGGTGACAATATTCCCTCAGCATTTGCTTATCTGCAAAGGACTTCATTTTGCCTTCATTTGTGAAACTTAAGTTTTGTGGGATATAAAATCCTTGGTTGACTGTTATTCTATCTGAGGATATTGAAGATGGGACCCCAGTCCTTTCTGGCTTATAGGGTTTCTTCTGAGAAGTCTGCTGTTAGTCTGATAGGTTTACCTCTGTAAGTTATTTGATGTTTTTGTCTCACTGCTCTTAAAATTCTTTCCTTCACATTAACTTTGCATAACCAGATGATTATATGCCTTTGGGATTATGCTTTTACAATGAATCTTCTGGGGGTTCTTCAGGCTTCTTGTATCTGGATCTTTAGATTTCTGTCAAGGCCAAGCAAGTTTTCCTCCATTATTTCCTCAAATAGGTTTTCCAAACCTGTTGCTTGCTCTTCTTCCTCCATAACACCTAAATAGGTTTGGATGTTTTAAATAATCCCACATTTCTTGGAGACTTTGTTCCATTCTCTTGATTCTTTTTTCTTTATTGTTATCTGATTGAGTTCATTTGAAAACCTTGTCTTCAAGTTCTGAGATCCTTTCTTCTACTTGTTCTAGTCTGTTAATAAAATCTTATACTGCACTTTGTACTTCCCTAAATGCTTCTTTCCAGGATTTCAGCTTTTTTTTTAAGGTGTCTATCTCTTTGGAGAATTTTTTATGCATGCTCTGAAAAGTTTGGGGTTTTTTTAATTTATTTATGTTGGTTTTCAATTTTCTTCTGAATCTCATTTAAAAATTTTACAGTCAACCTTTTGAATTCTATCTCTGGAACATCAAAGATTTCATTTTGGTTAGGGTCCATTGCTGAGAAGTTAAGTGTAGTCTTTTGGGGGTGTTGGAAAACTGGTTTTCATGTTGTCAGAATTATTTTTCTGGTTCCTGCTCATTTAGGGAGACTATTTATTCTTATTTGAGTTTGGCAGGGGGCTGATGTAGACACTGTAAGATTCCCTTGGTTATTATTGGCTTTGATGTGTTGAGTTTCTCAATTACCAGCTGTGGCAGTCCTGTGCTGGGTACCTGCTCTGGCTCACGGTGTCCTGAGTAGCTAGAGTGGTTTGGAAAGCAGTATTAGCTGGGGTCTGGGAAAAACCTTTTTCCAAAGCTGATGTACTATAATGGGTTGTGCTGTTGACATCTGGCCAGGAGGTGGCACTAGTGGGAAAGAGCCAGTTGCAAAGGTAGGGTGGGCTCTCTCTTTGAAGTGCATTGCTCCAAGGAAGTGCCTGGCCAGCCTAGACAGAGGGCCAGTCTCTGGGCCATAAGTGCTTTTAAATCACAATGTTATGCTTCCCATTTTAAAATATAAATAGGAACAATAGAAAATCTGAGACAATTCTTTTATAGAAGTTTGCAAATGGCAAAAGAATAATACAAGATTTTTTATTTGAGGATGAATCTTGAAAACAGTTACATTTTAGCTAGTTCTATACCAGCATCATACATACAAGAGTACCTTCTAGACCAGTAGTCCCCAGCCTCTTTGGCATCAGAGACTGACTTCATGGAAGACAGTTTTTCCATGGTCAGGGGGTGGGGTAGATGGTTTCAGGGTGATTCAAGCACATAACATTTATTGTGCACTTTATTTCTATTATTATTACATTGTAATATATAATGGAATAACTATACAACTCACTATTTAAAAAAAAAAGAGGTGAGGATGGAAGTGTTATATAAAATAATGGGTGGACCATGCATAGACTAAAATAAATGTTGGATTCTGACTTAAAGCCTGCCACCAGATGCAGCTATACAATTGGAGTACATGAACTCACTTGCTACTCACTGATAAGGTTTTGATATGAGTTTGCAAGCAATTGATTTATGGTTTCTACACAGTCAAATCTCACTGCAAATGCTAATCTATATTTGCAGCTGCTCCCCAATACTGGCATATAGCCTCAGCTCCATCTCGATTATCAGGCATTAGATTCTCATAAGGAGCGTACAACCTAGATCCTTCACATGCACAGTTCATAACAGATTCTCAATGAGAATCTAATGATGCCGCTGATCGGACAGGAGGTGGAACTCAGACAGTAATGTGAGTGAGGGGGAGCAGCTATAAATACAAATAAAGCTTCAATTGCTCACCTGCCACTCACCTCCTGCTGCTTAACCTGGTTCTTAACAGGCCATGGACTGGTACCCCCACTCTACACCTAGTGCCTGCATCTGTCCTCACATGCCATTTTTACTTACATCTGTTTTAAAGATTGCTATGGAATCTCCACAAGGACTGAAAAGTAATTTACTTCAGACATTTGGATATACTGGGAGTGGAGAGGTAACAGAAGAGATATTCGAACATCCTGACTGTGGACAATGGTGGAAAAAACTTTTATTCAGCTTATGTTTTTTCAATGCTGTGATCAATGAAAGAAAAAATTATGGAATATTGGGCTGGAATATTGCTTATAAATTTAATTCTTCAGACTTAGAGGTAAGTGTGGTCCCTTCCAAACAAACAAGAAATAAGTAACAATAAGATACAAACTGAGAGTCTACTATGCATCTACACAAATGCTCAGTGTTTACAGAGTGATAAGAAAATTAACTCTATAACTAGGCAATAAGGGGCAATGTTTAAAAACATGGACTTTAAGCTGGGCTCGGTGGCTCAGCCTGTAATCCCACGCCTTTGGGAGGCTGAGGTGAGTGGATTGCCTGAGCCCGCGAGTT